CAATGGTTAAAATGGCTTTATTGTAATCATCACGTATAAATTGGAAATATTAAGCTGTCTGCAGTGTATCAGCTTTGGGGTTTTTTCTATCACATGCTGTGAATGCATCATTAATTCCCCCTCCCAACCAGGACATTTTCTACCTAGCACACTACGCTGAGCATGCGTGCTTATATACTACCAGATTGGGAAAAATATGGAGACTGCGGGAGTTTCAGACATGCGAGGGAATACTCGCTGTCGTTTGGATTTCATACGGAGGATGCCGAACAAAATGCAGTCATTTGCAAAGCTTTCCATAAAACTATTGCTGCAAAAGGTAGCAGTACCACGAATTTATTCCACCAGCTGAAAAGTCATCCACTGCAAAATGAAGACTGTTTTAAACTCGGCATGTCAACGTCTCCCTACACGCCAAAGAAAATGTTAGATAAATCAGCTGTGATACTTGTGACTGTTCTTGGTCAGGTGTTTTTATAGTCACTCACTGTATAGATCTGTAATTTGAGGTCATCACATTTTTTATTTTACAATTTTTTTATAAGCAAAAAGAATACCTTTTTAATTTCAATTGTTTTATTTTGTCTCCTGAATTCTACGGCACTATGTAGTTAAAAACAACATTAGTATACGGCGTATCATGATATAGCCAAAACATGTTGTGATTAGATTTTCCTCATATCGCCCAGCCCTAGTACTAATGGTATCAGTCTACAGCTCTATGCTGACTGTATGCCAGCGTTAATTTAATTATTTCATTCACAGAACACAATTGCTTTACTTTTCACAATTTACTCACTCTTCTTTGAAAATTAAGTCAATGCTAACCAGCTAGCTATGCACTGGTTGGTTAGGTTGCTATTGTAGTGGTCATCAACGTCTTTCAGTTGTCTTAAGTTCTTGAGTTTTCTCAAGACTGAATGCAATGCATGCGCTCTGTGAATCAAATGCACAAACAGCACATAAATACAACGTCTTTGTCTCCATCCATACTGGCTGTATTTTCCAAAAGGCGCTGGATCGACTAGCTAAGCTGCAATGTTTTGGTTTTGACTGGGTTCCATTTTTGTACAGTTCATTGTCCAAATACTGTGCCACAAACACTCTCCTACTGGCTTTAATGGTAGTATATCATAGAATTCCCAGCATTTTGAGTCAAGCCCCATCATTCAGCACCAGCACAGGTCCATATATGTGAGGAACTGAGAACCCTGTGCTTAACTTATTTCAACAGCAATGCTGCCAAAACAACAGGGAAACAGGCATGTTTTCAATGAAGGAATAATCTGAAAAAAGTTCCATCTCTCTGCTTCTCTTCTAGAGCAGGGCGATATGGCCAAAAATATTTATCACGATATATATTTGAAAATTT